CTATGATTATTTTTAGGCGGTACTCTTCTTACTAATCAAAGCATCAATGAAAAAAAGATGAAATTGAAAAGCAAATATCTGACCCAAAATTATCCAAAATGTTTTCCATCATCTATGAAGAATCAAAGTTATACACTAAGTTTAGCCAAACCACGTATACATCCTTCTGATAGGAAAGTTTTCTCCTGAATTAGGAAGAAGGTAAATTTACTCACAGCCCAGATAGCTCAGTTTAGTATGGTTAACACCACAAGATTCTGGAAGCAGAGAGCCTGGGTTGGAATCCCTCCTCTACCGTTCACTAAGTATATCTTAAGTTACTCAACCTGTAAAGCACTTATAACATTGCCTGGTACAGAATAAGAACTCAGTAGATGCAAGGTGGCAGCAAACCTATAGATCTCTGCGACATTGCATCGCCTGGAAGACTGTCAGAAATCCAAACTCTCAGTCCAATTCCAGACTCAAAGAGTTAGAACCTGCATTTTTATCATGATCTCATGATTCAAATGCAAATTAAAATTTGAGAAGCATAGGTAAAAAGCATTTTTACATTATATTCTGAGATGTTACCTATAATAATTAATTTCTCAAGAACCATTCCATTGTCTTTCTGCAGTTTTAAGAAGTTACAATAATTTTTAGTAAAACGCAAAGTATTATTTGGGATAAAAATTCCTCCGTTAAGTAATTCCTTACAATATCTTATTCAAAGGCAGAACCAACTAAAGCCCAAGGTTGTAGAGGACTGCCATCTAGTGGTAGTTCATTCTGCTATCCATCCCAAAGAAACTCCGTCTGCCTTCCAGTACTTTAAACACATTTGTTTTAAAATGCTGCTAGGTTTTCTTTTTGCTTGCTTCCTTTCCTGAGGACTAGTAACATGATTGCCCAACTTCATAATTTTACAAGAAGGCATCTTAAATACAGAGGAAGGTAATTTTTAAATTTCCTTTTTTAAACTCAGATCAAGTCTATGGACGTTTTCAAATCAAAATAAGATTGACCCGCTCTCTTCTGGAAAGGTGCACATCAGACACACACTAGTGACATTAGGCTTAGAAAAGGGACTTTCTTTTGAAACGTTCATTTCTTGGGGTGACTTTTACTTTTTTCTTCCTAAGTTCTATACTTTTTACACTTTATTTATATAGTGGCAGAGGTGCTTTCAGATTGAGAAAAAAGTATTTTATAACCTTCTGACTCAATAACTGTACTTCTGCATTCTATCCTAAGGAAATAATCAGAAACATGGACAAAGATTTATGTTCAAAAGTGTTCATTTCAGCAAACCAAACTTAATAGCTTAATAATAACCCACAGAATCTACACATCAAAACTTAGTCATTCTCCTCTGTTACTCTTTTAGATCACTTCTAATTTTTCTATATTACAAATAAATACATATATGTATATACAAAAGGAAGGAAAGGAAGGCAGAAAGAGGAAGGAAATAACAAAACATATGTCAACTTGATGTGACTTTTCCACATGTTGGATCATTTCCTGATATACATTCCCATAAACCACATATCAGCATTCAAGAGCATTTTCATGGTTCTTAATAGCCAACCTGTTTATAAGAGTGTTGTATCATTTTACATGGCCACAAGCAATGTAGGTTGTACAGACTGTACCATCACCTCTCTAGCATCAGGTTTCATCCCACAGCTAATTTTTTAACAGTTTTATCATTAAGATATAATTTACTTACCACCCCTTAAAAGTATACAACTCATTGTAAAATGATTATAAATCAATAAAAAATGTTTTTAAAAAAAGTATACAACTCAATAGCTTTTAGCGTATTTATAGAACTGTGCAATCATCACCATAATCCAATTTTAGATCATTTTCATCATCCCAGAAACATTGTACCAATTAGCAGAAACTACCCATTCCCTCTGGCAGCCCCCAAAATGGCTAATTTTTACTAACTTACCACTCCATTACTTTTTCATATTTTCATATAGATATCTCAATAATATTAAGTAAGTGTTTCAAACTCATGAAACAAAATAATTGCTTCTGCTACTCAGATATTTCTGTTTCAAACTATGAAATATCCCACTTAACCATAGGAAAGTAAGACATATCATAATAGCCTATTATTTTTTCAAAATGTACTTTTTTTATGAAGTATAGTTGATTTACAATGTTGTGTTAGTTTCTGGTGTATAGAATAGTGATTCAGTTATACATATATATTACTCTTTTTCACATTATTTTTCATTATAGCTTGTTACTAGCTATTGAATATACCTCCCTGTGCTATACTGTAGGACCTTCTTGTTTATCTATTTTATATATAGCAGTTTGTACCTGCTAATCCCAAACTTCCAATTTATCCCTCCCTGCCTTTCCCCTTCAGCAACCAGAAGCTTATTTTCTGTATCTGTGAGTCTGTTCCTATTTTGTAAATAAGTTCATTTCATTTTTTAGATTCCACATATAAGTGATATCATATAATATCTGTCTTTCTCTGTTTGACATACTTTATTTAGTATGATAATCTCTAGGTCCAACTTTTTTTTTGTACAATTTATTTTTATTTATTTATTTTGGGGAGAGGTAATTAGGTTTATTTATTTATTTATTTTTAGAGCAGGTACTGTAGGTCCATCCATGTGGCTGCAAATGGCATTATTTCATTCTTTTTTATGGCTGAGTGGTATTCCATTGTATAAATACACCACAGCTTCTTTATGCAGTCATCTGTCGATGGACATTTAGATTGCTTTCATGCCTTGGCTATTGTAAATAAAGCTGCTATGAACATTGGGGTGCATGTATCTTTTCGAATTGAAGTTTCCTCCAGATACATGTCCAGGAGTGGGATTGCTGGATCATATGGTAAGTCTATTTTTAGTGTTTTAAGGAATCTCCATTCTATTTTCCACAGTGGCTGCACCAATTTACATTCCCACCAACAGTGTAGGAGGGTTCCCTCTTCTCCACACCCTCTCCAGCATTTATCATTTGTGGACTTTTTAATGATGGTCATTCTGACTCATGTGAGGTGATACTTCACTGTAGTTTTGATTTGCATCTCTCTGATAATTAGCGATATTGAGCATCTTTTCACATGTCCATTATATCTTCACTGGAGAAATTTCTATTTAGGTCTTCCATCCATTTCAAAAGGTTCTTTTTAAATGTAAGGCATAATTTAAGAACTAAGAGAAGATATCATGTAAGTACAAGGTTATCTATTGTTTTCAAAACTAGTAGCAACTATCATTACTTTGGAAGTCCATTAATAAAGCTAGCAAAAATGTCACACAAAAGTAAGGAATTGCTTTTTATTTGATTTATTTAAAACTTTATTTTAATTGAATTAACTTGATCTGATATTAAAAATAGAGTGCAATCAGTGTAAGATAGCATTTGATGTGTGATCTAAAGAATTGTCTTTTTAAAAATAAATTAATAAATAATTGTCTTGATGCTAACAAAAAAATTAAAACTTACTTTCATTTAGCCAAAGCAATTTTTCTCACACAATTTTTTTGACTCCAGATGTACAGAATTTAGCAGAGCATTCTTTTGGAGATTTAGTAGGGGTAAGAAAATTGAAAACAGTTAATTAAACAAGGAAGACCTAGGTTCCCTGGTCATGTCAGACATTTTTTTTAAAGGACAGTGAAAACCAGTTTCAACACCTTTTGGGAAAGGACACCTCACAAATAGAAGTTAGTCTCTCATCAAATTTTACCTCTTTCTCTCCTTTTTTCATCTAACTCTGGACATCTTCCATATTCTTCAAATAATCCAAACAGTCCTATTACTCAAGTTAAGCTATACAGCAATCCAGCCAAGTATTTTGTTTCATATCACTTTAATTACACAAAACATTTATTTGTACATCCCACTCAAAATATTCTTGACTGCTAATTGGTATGCTCAAAATCATCTATTCTTTGCCTTTACCTCTATCTATGAAGAAGCTGAGTTCACATAAATGAAGGATAATTCTAAAATAAAGTCATTTTTTTCACATCACTAAAGAAAAATCTAATATAGGTAGTCACTTTTTATTAACACAACAGTTAAACAATAAACTCATAAACTTGAGCCCAAAGAGAGCTCAAATATAAAATCCCTAGTTACATGTTCAGCAGGTGCCACATGCACACACTCAGACACAAAACCACAGAGGTAAGTGTTACCACCTGGCTTCCTTTCCTCACTCCAGCACCAGCAGCTCCTCTATCACCCTGTCATGGTGAAGTGAGGGGAGTGGGACCGTAAACAATCTTCCCACACCAACAGCAGCAGTGTACACAAGCAAGCACCTAGACCTAGTAACTCAAGTTCTGGGACTAGGAGGAGCATGCTTATAGGTAGCCTTTGTGCTAATTAGGAAAAGATACCCCTAAGGTGAGAGGAACTCAGCCTCATTGAGACAGTAATTTGTGAAATTTAGAAAAGGCATTGTTCCTCTAGGGAGGATTATTCCAGGCCAGGGCACATGGCTTAACGAGCAAGATCAGCTCTGCATTTCAGTCTCCACATGCCCCTGTTCCAGGTGCTCTGGTGCCGAAACAATCTGCACAACCCTGTACAGTGGCCATGGAGGTGGTTGAAGTGGAGACAAAGGTCCATAGCTTAACCTTGCCTACAGCAAGAAGAACAGGGACCCCTTATAAGTGAAGAGATCAATCCCTTCTTCCACTGAGAGAAACAGACACACATTCCACCACACACACAAACAAGCTCAATTTCAGTGAGCTCATGCATAAAAGATAAAATCTGGAGAAAAGGCAGTTTTAGAAGTATCTCTATAGACCACATAAAAGTGTTGGTTATATGAAAACCAAACACATTCAATGTTTAAAGTTTTCTTTTTTATTACTTTGTTCAAGTATTTGAATATAAAATTTTCAAAAATATGTTTAACTCTCTCTGAGATTCATACCACGCAATCCTCCATTTTCATATGACCAAATATTCTAAATCTGGTCCTTGTAATAGCACACTTATGATTAAATGCAAATTACCTTTTACACCACCAAATGGTCCATAAGTCATATTGCAGGCTGTTCGCTGAAGATTATGTTCATACATCAATTTGATCTGATATTGGTTCCCATGTTCCACATTACCCAAAATTCCTACGGAGAAGAAATAAAAGGACTGCTTTGTATTTTTTTACATTGAAAAATATTAATATCTTCTCATCCTCTAAACCAATTCCAAGTAACTCAATTTCAATGAAATTTAAAATGACAAAGCTCTAAAACATTATGTATTATGAACAATTAGCATACTGATGACACAGAATGCTAGCACAGTCAAAACAATTTAAGTCTCAGCTAGATTATACCATTAGTGAAATACTACCCTGGGTGACATTTTATTATCTATTTCTATTCTGTCTGAGTAAAGTGTAATTATTAAAATAACAACAAAACCCTCCAGTTTCAGTTCTGAAATAAATGAGGTCAAGCTTCCTGCACTTATAACAATGATAGAGCAAAAACATGATTCAAAGTGTCTAAGAAAAAAATTCTGCATACTTTCAAGCAATGCAATTTTTTGTCACAACTCTCAAAATATTCCACCCTCTAAAACATTATATTTTAATTTAATAGAGAGATCTTCTAAAGCTTTCCTCAGCAGGTAAATAGGACAATATGTTTTCTCTGAAGTCTGCCAAGAAGAATCTCCTTCAGCAAAGAAAAATACTTGCCCTGCACTTAATAGATCATATGTGCTACAACCACTTTCTAGTTCTTTCCAAATGAGAAAAGACTCTTTATCTGTATTTCACTCTCTCATTGTTAGGCTTTCTAGAGTTCGTACAGTTACAGCTATATACCAGTGACCAGGCAAGAACATTATGATAAAAAGAAGTGTTGGAAAGAAAAATGATTCCTAATGCAATTTTTTCACTAAGAAGCATGTTTATCATTCATTCAAAAATGCAACAGTTAAAGAAAAACTTAAAATATCATAAAGCAAATGAAATAGTCCCCAAATTGGATAACATTAGATCATTAAAAACCTAAGTATATATGTTTTTATATATGTATATGTACATACATATTTATACATGATCATTTATTTACCGATGTGCACTGAGGTTGTAAGAACAGAAATACTTCTACTTCCATTTTAGACACCTTAAGTTCAAAAAAATTCAATAAATTTCCCCTAAAATCACACAGCTGATAAAGAACACAATACTCAAACTAGGCCTTTAGAGTCAGCACTATATATCCAGGTGCCTGGCTGTCCATCCTTTAACAACTTTCAGGGAACCTGGTAAGCCAATGACAATTTCAAAAAAATAAAATGCAGCATCAAGAATACGTTATTCCCACCTCTACCTTTCTCGCCCTGGCCTTCTCTTCCTCATTTGAAAGGTAAAGGGTTGAAAGGGAAAAACTAACAGGGAATGATTTCCTGGAGGAAAATCACTTCTACTCAGATCTATGCCCCTGAAAATAATAACAGACTTCACACACCAATAGAATAAAAAATAAAGAGAATGATTCAAATATGCCAGCTAACACTGATAGGAGATGAAAGCTTTCTGGAATCCAAATGGTAATAAAATCAGTAAGGCCCAGAGAAACTGGGGCTTATCACATACATACCAGCCACACGGGCAAAAAAAAAAAAAAATTCTAACTAAATACCTAACTCACAGCATTGACCTAAGGATAGTTCTAGCCTTTAAAAAAACAAACAAACAAAAAAGGAAGTTCTGAGAAACTTTTGGTTTGTCCCTACAGAAATTCCAAATTTCATTCTGCACCTAAAACCAGATGGACCTCTCTGAGTAAGGAATGCATTTACTCTTGCCTGTTAGCCAAAAAGTTAGTCAATATTTAAACAAATTTGCATAAAATGACACTAAGATTTATCTTCTGAAAAAGTACCAAATGCATTGATAAATTTTTAAATTTCAGGTGAAAGGACTTTAAAATGTAATAGTGCAACTATGGAGAACAAAAAACAATTTATTTTCCTTCAGTGCTAACCTTAGAATAAAGGTAGTATTTGAAAATCTAAAAACACCACTTTTTCTTCTAGAAAAGCATGAATGACATAAGATCAAAATTACATAGGTTTCCTTTGTCCTTGGATATATAGACTCAATACAGTAAATGTATATCTATAATTATAGTCTCCATATAGCTGAAGTTAGTATAAAGTTCCATCAATTATAAAGTAAAATTTATAATTTTATAAGGCTGCTGGCCTTATTTAAACATAATTTGATTTAAACAAAAAAAATTCTCTGGAAAAATCAAAGGTCACCTTGAAAACAGGATTTGGTGCTATTTCATATAACTGCTGAGACATCTAATGATGTTAAATGAAATAAAAGACATTACAGAGTAGGTTAAAAGGTTCATTGTATTAAATAACCAAATTAGATTATAAAAGCTTGTCAAAAGTAAACAGCCACATCTTTTTGCCCTCTCACTGCAAATATCAAAATTCTATAAATACGTCAAATGCTTAGTAAATGCTTGTTAAGAAGTACACAATTTTTGGAAAAGAATATTTAAAAGAACATAATCAGGATAGCTTAAGCTCCCACATCTGCAACCATTTACTCAGAAACAGAAGCCCATCCAAAAGGAATGAGACGCCATATGATGCTCTTCCTTTACCAGAGTATAAGACAGGCTAACTTCAGGTCAGCAAGACCCTACTGTTTCTTTATATTAAGCCTGCATTTAATGACATATCACCCACCAAAAAAAAAAAAGGCAGCACAGTAGCCTCTGATTATTAAGGGTTGTTTGGTGTCTCTAATTTACCTCAAATCTTTTTTTGGAGCACACAGCACATAAAACAAAAAATATTTGGGGAGAGGGCAGTTGGGGTTAAGGATGTTCAGCTAACACTCTTCATCTACTGACACCAGTGAATTCACTTAAACTAAAAAGTGTTTATGCTTCCACTGTTACAGTAAAAGCTAGGTAAAAGTTCAGTCTGGAACCTCAAGAAACATATTCAAGAGAACAAAAACATAACTTCCCTGCTTCTCAATTTAAGCCAAGCCAGGAAAAATACACAAACTGTCAGCCTACGAATATCATAGGAGGTTGAAGAAATGAGAAACAGAGAAGGGAAGTGAGGTGGAGTGTAAGGGAATGGAGTTTGGACAACTCCTCATCCCTAGAGAATATAAAGCTTGTAAATGAATACAAAGAATAAAAGCTCAATAAAATCAGCATTCCCATAACAAATAACTTTCATTTTCAACACTAATTTGAAGGAGGATACCAACGTCCCTCAAACAAGGTGTGACAAAACATGCCTGTTTCTTTCAGTAGGCTTTATTTTGATAAACAAATTTCATACCTAGTCTATGTCTGGCTTTCTGGGCTATCATTCAAACAGGACCAGGAAAGGCCAAGAGTTTAACCTAATTTCTAGTTTTTAGAACACTTCCCTTTCCTGCCTTCTTACAGCCCCCATGAGCCCCCCATGGAGACTCTAGAAGAGACCAGTACTCCAAGCAGTATTCAAGAGTAACTGTGGGCAAGTTCTCCTCCTCTACACCTGTTAATAAAATATCACTCGAAGTTAACAGGCTTATGATGGAAAAGAGAGGAACAACTAGAGTCATGCAATAAAGTAACCTATATCATACCTTCTCCACTTTCTCTAGAACACTAAATATTTGCCCTATCACTAGGATGACAACATCTTTTATCATGAAACCAATCAGAGTGCTTAATAATGTCAGTGAGAGGTAGTCTGTTGGGCCTCTGATATAAATAGAATGGAAAAGAAAATGATAGTGGTAACAGGAAAGGAAGAAAGAAGGAATAAAATAAAATATAGAGAGTAATATTTAGCCACTACCAATTGCCTCAGAACTTAGTTCATTCATTCATTCAACAACTATCCCTACCATATACCATATACCAGGTTACCAAGCCTGCCTTAGAAATCTAACAGATCTTCACCCCAAAAAGATGCTACCTAAGAATATCCAGCTCAGTGCCAGTAAATATGAATCATTACTCAAATTAAAAGCAAAATACAAAGAAACCCAAATCAAGAGAATGACAGTGAGAAATGAAATCCTAGAAGCTAATATGTACAGCAAACTCCAAAGGAGAGTATCTTTTGTATAAGGACTAGGTCCATAGACCTATTGTACTGTATTTATTGTAACCATTTAAAAATTACCCAGTATTTTATATTCATAAAAATAACTCTCTCAACTAAACTAAAATGTATCTAATAACGGAAACAAAATTTATAAATTACCTTTTATATTTTAGTAACAGCCAAAATGCCAAAACCAAACCACAATTAACTATCATACTTGTACCCACAGAACCATGTTAGAGAGTGAAACCTGATTAAGTCTCAAGTAGGGAAAGGATAGACTGGGAGTTCAAAATTT